ATTCACCATTATTTTCTCCAACAAACATTAGTGCACATGGAAGTTTAGGAGTTAATGGTTTTTCGTCTACCTTTTTTGATAACAATGTGTAGAGTCGCTGCTTTATGTCATTTTAACTACCTTGTGTGGCCTTTATGGATTTTAGTAAATCAGGAAGAACCAATGGAGTTTAGCAGCTGGTTTAGGGCAAATGTTTGCAATTTTTATTTCATTCTTAGAGAATCTGTGATTATCCATTTCCATAGCTTCCTTCACACAGTCCTTGTTATCTGTCCTAACTTGCTTGTACATATTCTTTCATTATTTTTGAAAAAAAAAATTATTTCAAATAAATTAGACAGATATATTCATTTGTTCATTATAGACGTATCTATCTATTAACGAGATTTGAACTCCAAAAGTTGCAGTATGGTAAAATTCCGTATTGCCTTCTTGTAGCCAAGGATGTTTGTAACTTTCACAGTGAAATAGCTGCACACTCTCCAGAAGGATAAAATTGAATACACTTGCAGCAATTTCTAATGAATCAGTTCAATGAAAAAGTAATTGAACTCTTTTATTAAGAAAAAATAACTGTAAATTTTCCATGCATTCCAGCTTTGGTAGTGATTCTTATAAATACTAGGGTACTAGAAACAGAATTGTCTGTGGTTGACCATTGTTTTGATTTTTTTAGCATGTTGTGCTTGCGAAAAAGTGTACTTTTACCTTTTGGGCGTATATTGCTTTCAGGTAAGAAATCCAGCCGGTGAATTTGGAAGGGTTGACTTACGAGCTTTACAAGCCTTGTTTCTGAATATATTTGGGGTCATCTACATGATTTTTTTTATTTTTTCCAGTACCCAGTCCATAGCTACATTCATCTACTTTAAAGCAACAATAAATTATGTTAATGGTTCACTTGTCAACCTTATTAAATAAATTTTTCTTGGCCTTATTTGGTCATAGTTCATTTAGAGAAGCAGAAAAGTTATATCTTTCTATTTAAATTTTGGGTGATTACGCATTGTATGTTTTAAACTTGGTTTTGATGTGGAAAATTAGTAAACCATGGAGTGGAAAACAGGGCATGGTTTATTGTAAAATAGCACCGAGACGACGAATATCTGCTTTCAAGTAGGAAAATTGACACATGTGCAAGTAGCATTGAAATTCTTAATATAGATCCCAATCTAGGACAGTGCCATCAATTACAAGTGGCCATATTTTTAAGTTTCTGAGGACTATTATATTTGCCTATTGGAAATCAAACATTGAAGCTATAAATTAGTGCGTATAACATAAGAGATTTGGAGCTTTATTAGTTGCTGAATTGTGTATATAGTATTTAATTCATCTTCCTTTTAACAATGGCTCATATTGATTGTTGTCTACCATGCTTAATCCTTTCTGCTTTCCACTTTCTTGTTTGTTGTTCTTTGCTGTAAGACATCTAATATAGGTTCCATAGTTCATATGGTAGCATTGCTGGTTGGATGGTGGTTTTGATAAAACTAATTAATGCTAGAGAAAGTGATTGGGGCTTCACTTCATTCATGCCTCTTAGTGAACTATATGACCCCAGTAGAGGTTATCTTGTGAATGATACATGTGTAGTCGAGGCAGATGTTGCTGTTAGTAATGTTGTTGA